GTTGAACTTCTTTGGTTTCTGGGACTGCCCACAAACCTCTTTCCTTCTTTGGACTGCACGTGGTGGCAGCGGAGGAAGAGCCAGAAGGATTGCTGGAAAGGTGGCAGAACCTGGGTAAGGAGCCAGTCTCGGGATGCCTCTTCCCTGCCCGATGGGTCTCCCCTCGCCCTCCTCTGCTGCCGCCTCTGCCTCTGTTAGTTGGAGGGGGGTCGCCTTGGGTCTCGGTAGCTTCCCCACTCCGCCCGTGCCTTTCGGCCGTCTCGTGAGTCGAGAGATTCCCCCGTGGCGCCTGCCCAGCCCTTTCCCCACCTGCTGCGTGGCGCCTCTTGGCTGTCCTCCCGCTGCCGCCGCTGCTGTGAGACTCTCCGCCGCCCAGCCCCACCTCGGCTCCATCGGTGGTGCCTTCCTCGGCCCGGGCAGCCGCGGCCCTTCGCCGCCTGGCCCCACCTCGGCCCGGGCAGCCGTGGCCCTTTGCCGTCCTCCCCTTGCTGCCACTGCCGCGGGGCTCTCCACCACTTGGCCCCATCGGTGGCGCCTTCCTCGGCCCGGGCAGCCGCGGCCCTTCACCGCCCGGCACCACCTTGGCCCGGGCAGCCGCGGCCCTTTGCCATGCTCCCCTTGCCGCCGCTGGGCGGGGCTCTCCACTGCCCGGCCCCATCGGTGGCACCTTCCTCGGCCCAGGCAGCTGCGCCCCTTCGCCACCCGGCCCCACCTCGGCCCGGGCAGCCGTGGCCCTTCGCTGTCCTCCCGCTGCTGCAGGGCTCTCCACCGCCCGGCCCCATCGGTGGCACCTTCCTCGGCCCGGGCAGCCACGCTCGTTCGCCCCCCAGCCCCACCTCGTCAGGGTGCGGAACTGGGCTGCGGACGCCTCCCCTTTTCTTGCGGCTGATAGTAGGACGTTAGAGCCGCCAACTCTGGTCTCCACCCGGGCGGGCGGGCGAGCAAAACCTTTTTTGTTCCTTTGCAAAGTGAAGACGCCGGCGCATGGCTGGGGGGGGGGGAAAGACAGCTCCGGAGGGAGGCAGCCATGCAGCCAGAAGCCGGCGATCCCAGTCCGTCCCTTTTTCCCCAGCTGCAGGAGAAGGGGAGGCGCAGGCTCTCCACCCGGTTGGGCAGGCGTCCGCAGCCCAGTTCTGCATCCTGATGACCAGCTGGACCGGCTTTCGCTGCTTCTTTGCAAATGAACGCAAAAAGTTTCGGGGTTTTGCTCGCCTGCCCACTCAGGTGGAGAGCCTGCGCCTCCCCTTCTCCTGCGGCCGGGGAAAGAGGGCCAGCACCGAGCCTGTCGTGGAGGACTTTTTAGGCCCTGGATACCCCCCTCCCCCCAGGGCCAGGCACTGCAGCTCCGCAGCAGGAGGGAACCCTCCGGACCTTCGGTTTTCCCAGCTTGCCAACGAGGCTTGCAAACTCGGCTCCTGCCAGGGAAGCAGCACCTTTTGGGACGGGCTCTGAGCAATTGCATGCTTCGGGGAAGGAGCACGGAGGCCTGCAAGCAGGCAGACGCTGGGTAGCACGAACTAAGTGGCGAGCAAAACCCCGAAACCTTTTGCATTCGTTTGCAAAGCAGTGAAAGCCGGTCCAGCTGGTCGTCGGGGTACGGAACTGGGCTGCGGATGCCAGGCCTTGCTCACTGGCAACGCTGGAGCCTCCCACACCAACCAGTAGGTCTTCAATCGCTGGCTGGGTGGTTGCCTCCCTCCGGAGCTGTCTTTCCTCCCCCCCGGCCATGCGCCACCGGCGTCTTCTCTTTGCAAAGGAATGCAAAAGGTTTTGGGGTTTTGCTCACCCGCCCGCCCGGGTGGAGACCAGAGTTGGTGGCTCTAACATCCTACTATCTTTGGCTGCAATCCTATCCACCTGTTTTGTGCAACCGATTGCAAGCCAAGCGCTGCCTGGTTCTGAATTAATAGCTTGGGGGGGCGCGAAGCCCACTAAACTGTGTGATCCCAATGACAGAGCTGACTTTGCAGGAGCCTCCATCGGATTGGAACTTTCCTGTCCGATTGAGCTTAGTTAAGGCAGGGCCATTCTTAGCGTGGTGTTCACATGTTAGTTAGTGGGGCTGACTAGTTCTCTGGCAAGGGTGCCGTGCTCCGGCCTTCCTCCAAAGCGCCATCCTCGGAGGGGTAGTCATAGGCACCACTTTCAGCCAGCTCCTTTGGCGCGGCCCCAATTCTGCTCCGGGGAAATGGGGGTGGAGCGGAGCAGGGCAGCACTGCCTATCTCAATCACGTGGGGGGCCATGTAAACTCCACCAGATGGCTTCGCAGTTGCCGCCGCCACCGCCGGGGGAGATGAGCAGGCTGTTGCTCCTGTGGTCGCCTTCCCGCCGCTATGGAAGATAGCCTGGTCCGCATCTTTGGGGGCCTCAGCCTCCAGCAGCCCCGCCGTGCCCAAGGCAAGCCCCCCCTGCTTGCCACTTCAGCAAAGGGGGGAGAGCAGTCTTTTCCGAGGGGAGGAGAAGCCAGGACGGATCAGAGCTGGACGCGGGCAGGGCCGGTGCATGTGTTGCCTTAGGCTCCACTCTTCAACCAAGTCCCATTACGTGTGCGCGCATGCGCACGCGCATGCGCACATTTTGCGGCTCCCAGTTTTTTTTTCCTGAGGGAAACGGGTCCAAGTGGCTCTTTCACCATTTTAGGTTGACGACCCCTGGTATAGGTTATCTTTTCCATATCCAGTATTTCCTGTAAGTTTATTTTCATCTGGGTTAAATCATACTTCCTTGTATTGTTAAGATCCATCTTAAAATCTTTCACCTCTGTCTCGTATTCAATTGCCTGTTTTTTCTGCTCACTATTTTTATTTTTTGAGAATTTTTGTATTGTAAAGTTATATTGGAGATGTGTTCATGTATATTTTCCAAGTTATTTTTAATTTCCTCCTGGTTTGAGATCATTGTTATTTGGATTTGTTGCATCATAGTATAGATCTCCTTCTGGAAAGTATTTGTTTTTTCTTGATATATTCTTTCTGCAGATTTCTGGTTTTCCATGATAGCCAAAAATCAGGGTTTTTCTTTCTCTGCAGGTAGCTTTAGAGTTACACTTGAATTGGTATTTGTAATCCAGAAAGGTCAGGTTTTTTCCTAAAGTTTATAATTCTCACTTTATAAATATCCCAAAATGTTCTCTCTCTCTCTCTCTTTTTTTTTTTGTTTTTGTCGCAGCTGTTCTCTGTTATTAAGACATTGAAGGTCATCAAAAGCAAGTTATCTTTTCCTGGGCTTTACCAGCTCCTATAAAAGAGCAACTGCTGTTGCATATTTTCATCCACCACTAGGTGTCAGCACCAGTTCATTTTTCAGTAATAGACAATTGTTTACTTCTATTATTTACTTCTATTTTCATGGTTTAAAAGGAAAATCTTAATAATTTCCACCGATTTCAAACTTATCCAAATTAAGTCTTATATTCATTTCATTTCAGTATATTTCTATTTCCCCTGAAAAGTTTAATTAGCCGCTTCCATCTGCAGGAGGGTGGGACAGATTCCCCTCCTCATTTTCAGAGTTTTTTTGCTTCTTGGGGTTTTTCTTCCCCCCCCCCCGGAAATCAATTTTTCAAATAGAAGAGAGAAAACCACTATTCTTACCCAGTTCCAAACACATTGTTTACAATCAGCTTAAAGTAGTGCTTTTGGGCTTTGGCTGCTTGTAGCTTGGGCTAGACTCTGAAGTTAAGCTAGCCTTTCTCCTGCTGGTTTCTGGAGGGCTTTTCCCAAACTGATCAGATCAGCCATTGTCTCTCCATAATCAGCGGGACTGCCTTCCTTCTTTGTTGACTGTATGGTCCATTTAGGGTCCATTTAGGGTCCATTTAGGGTCCATTTAGGGTCCATTCAGGTCCATTTAGGGTCCCCTATCAGGCAGAAATCAGCCGTAGGGTACGGAGCCCCGTGATCCCTCAGCTGCTGCACAACTGCGCAAAACCGGAAGCCGTAAATGTAAAATCTTAATGTTTGCTTTGTTTTAAATATTACAGTTGGGGTTTTTTTCTGGGTAAGCAAAAATACCTCTATTTTATGTTTGCTTTTTAAAATTGTTTTCTTTTCATATGTACTTTAAAACACATAGCAAGAATTTAGACCACATAGCGCGGGCACCAAAAGGTTAATAAGTTATGAAAATCACAATATAGTTTAAAACTCTTCAGTAAGTTAATGATACTGTATTTAAAATGACACCTACCTGGTTTTTTAGTAAAGATATAAAGTCAAGGTCTATAAACAAGTCATGTACAGAGCTATCAACTCGCATATGTACAGAGATATCAACTGACAACTACAAGGAGATCAGCAATAGAAATTCAATGCTAAACTGAGCTACTTTTGGACACAAGTTTATAATCAACAATATGGTGTAGAATTATTATAGGTAAAGTATGGTTTGGCGCCTTATGCTGCATGTAGTTAATTTAAAAAAACTAACTAAATTGAAATAAGTGCACCTTCTTAAAACAAGAACATTATCCATAACACAAGCCATTTCTGTAGATGAAAGCAGTGAAATTAATCACAGCCTGTGCAAGTTGGACTTCAGTTCTAAGAAAGCAAGAATATTAAAATGTACACCCATAAAGATATTAAAGTATAAAGCTCTTCTTCCAATGCCCTATTAGTAGAAATAATTTACCATTGACAAAGTGGAATTCTGGGCTAACCATTAACTAGAGAGCTTAGTAGTGTAGATACTGTACTTGTTTCCTAAAGGAAAGCAGTGTTACCCTGAAAAAAATATGGTTCTCTTAAAACTCACTGCAGTGCAACCATTACAGACAATCCCATGACAAATGCTTTTAAGAATTCCTTAAGTAGAGCTGAAACACACTGACAACTTGGAACAAATGTGCCCTGTGTGTATGTGATCTTGGCAAGAATACTGGAAGAACCACATAGAGAGTACCTTCTCAATTAGCAATCTTGTATCAATGTATCTTGTTTTGTGCAATGGTTACTGTTCCCCATTACTTGTTCAGCATCACAAGACAACAAACCTTTAGTGCCAAGGACAAAAAAAGACACTTCACTATTTACAAGGAAGTCACTTTGCATAGAAAACCCAGCTTGCAAAGAATTACTTATTTTTTGTGAATATCCTCATGACGTATAATTTTGTATGTGATCCAGTAAAATATGTTGAAGATGAGAAAGGCAAGTGGGAAAGCAGCTCGGGATATTGTATCGATCCTTTTGGCATGGTCCACAAATTTCTTTTTGATGGAATCTGAATCTTTTGGCATGAGAGGTGGTGGAGGATTGGGAGGTGTAGCTTTGACTGTGGTACCATCTTTTACTTGTAGGCAGTGCTCCATCCCATAGCCACCAAAGTTAAATTGGCTATCACGAACTGCAACTTCTTCCTGAAGAAATAACAAAAAAAATTAAGAGAAATAACAAAAACAATCAATTTGACTAAATTCCATTATACAGTATGCTTTTAAGATGTCCTTCAACAGAATGAGAGAACTTGCCATGGCCAACTTGTTGCGGCCAACTCACCAAAGCCAATTTGCCATGGGAAAAATTGCCATGGCCAACTCACTGTGAGACAACTAGGGTGTTGGCTATTCCTGCCAGTTTAGTGTCAGTTTAGTCACCCCATTGCCGGCAATGGCAAAACCATCCCGATATGTTGCACGACGTCACGTGACATTGCGAGTTTGACATGTCTGCCCTAGATGATAGGCTCAAGATCCAGAGGGATCTTGACAGACTTGAACACTGGGCCCTATCTAAGAGAATGAAATTCAACATAGAGAAAAGTCAAGTCTTACACTTAGGTAAGAAAAACCAAAAATACACATATAGATTGGGTGAAACCAGGTTTAATAGCAACAACTGTGAGAGGGATCTTAGAGTCATAGTGGACAATCCATTAAATATGAGCCAACATAGTGGACAATCCATTAAATATGCGGCAGCCAAAAAAGCCAATGCAATCCTAAGTTGCATCAACAGAGGGATTCAATCAAGATCATGTGAGGTACTAATACCACTCTATAAAGCCCACACCTAGAATACTGCAACCAATTTTGGTCTCTACACTATATAAAAGATGTTGAGACTCTAGAAAAAGTGCAGAGAAGAGTAACAGAGATGATTAGGGGACTGGAGGCTAAAACATATGAAGAATGGTTACAGGAACTGAGCATAGCTAGTCTAGTGAAGGACTAGGGGAGACATAATAGCAGTGTTCCAATATTTGAGGGGCTGTCACAGGGAAGAGGGGGTCAACCAATTTTCCAAAGCACCTGAAGGCCAGACAAGGAATAACAGATGGAAACTGATCAAGAAGAGATTCAACCTAGAGAATAAGAAGAAATTTTCTGACAGTGAGAACAATCAACCAATGGAACAGACTGCCTTCAGATGTTGGTGCTTCATCACTGGGGGCTTTCAAGAAGAGACTGAACTGCCCTCTGTCAGAAATGGTGTAGGGCCATGGTGGCGAACCTATGGCACGCGTGCCACAGGTGGCACATGGAGCCCTCTCTGTGGGAGCACGTGCCGTCGCCCCAGTCCTAGGCCTCTGCTGCCATGTGCAAAAAAAAGGTTCAATCAATCAATTTCAACTTCTCGCAGGGAAAAAAAAGATCTCACAAAGTTGGAATTGCTTGATTGAACTTTATTTTCAGTCCCACACAGTGGCCGAGGAAGGGACGTGTTGAAGCTGGAAAAAAGGTGTCATGGGGGTGGGGGGACCGGCGGGAGCAGGGCGCTCCATGCATGGGGTGGGGTGGGGCCTCTTGCTTCCCCCCTGCCAGACACCTGCCGAAGCCGCACAGGGTAAGGTTGCCGCCCCCGCCTCTGCCCAGATGCCTTCACCTCCCCCAAGCGTTTTTTTTTACTAACCTGCCTTTCAGCTGCATTCCGTTTCTCCATTCGCTTCTCAGCCTTTGCTACATATTTGTGGGACAAAAAAAAGTCCCATGAGACTTTCTAACTTCTCGCGAGATCTTGTGAGAAGTTAAAAAGTCTGATAGAACTTTTTTTTTTTACCGATACAAACACGCGACGAAGGCTGAGAAGCAAACAGAGAAACGGAATGCAGCTGAAAGGCAGGTTAGTAAAAAACACTTGGGGAGGCGAGGGCATCTGGGTGGGGGCAGGGGCGGCAACCTTACCCTGCATGGTGGTGGAAGGGTGGGGCGCGTGCCCTTCCCATGCCAGGCCAGCCCCTGCAGCCCTGGGACGGGCATTCTAGGCAGCGGTGGGCAGGACGTTGAGGTGGGAGCCGGCAGGCTGGCTGACCAAAGCAGCAGGTGGAGTGCGGAGGCTTGGGGAGGGAGGGCGCTGAAGTGGGCGGTCAGGCCATTGGCAAGAGCAACGTGTCTGAGCAGAAAGCAGCCTCAGAACAAGTGGGACAGGTAAGGAAAGAAATCCTCGCTCCCCCCAGAAGTTGTGGATGCTCCATCACTGGAGGCTTTTAAGTAGAAAGTGGATATTACATTGTCTGGAATGGTATACATCCCCTGCTTGAGCAGGGGCTTGGACAAAAGACCTCAAAGGTCTCTTCCAACTCTGTTAGTCTTTGAGAGAAGCGCTGCCAACCTCTCCCCCTCCCCTCGTCCCTTCCTGGCCACAGAGGGAGGGAGGGAAGGAAGGAAGGAGGGAAACAGGAAGAAAGAAAGGGAAGGAAAGAAGGAAGGAGATGGGAATGAAAAGGAGGGAGGCAGGGAAGGAGAGAGGGAGAGAGGGAGGAAGGAAGGGAGGAAGGAAGGAAGGAGATTGGAATAAGATGGAGGGAGGGTCTGAGGAAAGTCCTGCCTTAGCACTTGGCCACCAGCAGCCCTATTGCCCTTTTGCCATCCCCTAGTGGTCTCCCATCCTCCTATTGGTGAGGATGCTTTAGTTACAAAGCCAGGTCTCCTTGCATGGAGAGGGAGTGGGCCTCCCTCTGACCCACACACTTTGCCCTCCTGCACCCACCATGAGCAACCTGGCCAAGGAGAACAAGCACAGAAACAGTATCCTTGAGGAGGAGGTAAACACAGCTGGGCACTCCCTCGGGGAAGTGCGGCTAGGGTAGGCAGGGCTGTAGGATCCAGGTGCTGTGGGAGCTCGAGAGCCGAGCTGGGCACTTGACCTCTGCTGCTCAGGCTCCAGGCAGTCCATGCCACCCTCCAGGGGCCCTCTGCATGGACTGAGGCTCAGTGAGGCTCCTTCAGTGGACCATGCCCCGGCGCTCACCCCGGTCCCACCCCCCTCCACTGGAGACCCTCAGATCCTGCCCAGGTCCACACAAGTGCCCCTGACGCGAGTGATGTTGAGCTGGCCACGCCCACCCAGTAGGCCACACCTACCCAGTGGACCACGCCCATCCGGCACCCGACGATAAATAAGTGGGGTTTGGGTTGCAGTTTGGGCACTCGGTCTCTAAAAGGTTTGCCATCACTGGTGTAGGGACTCCTGCTTGGGCAGGGGCTGGGACTAGATGACCCACAAGGTCCCTTCCAACTCTGCCATTCTGTTCTGTTCTGTTCGACATTGAATTTAGCATGACTTGGCTTTGAAGGATCCCTGCTTTGGTTTGCACTGTGAACAGTTTTTCTCTTTGCTGCACTCTTTCGTGGGCAATTCCCTTGTTCTTGGCAAGTCTTTTTTCTTACACATTATTTTACATCTTTTATGAAATTTTAAATTTACATGGACCTAAAATGGCTTGCTGAATCATCCTAGTATCAGTACAGTATCTTTTCATTAGAACACCCAACCAAAGCTTTGGAAGACCCCAGACAAGATATTCTGGTACTGATGCCTCGTATTTCTCTCCTAGAGTGATATTCAGAGCTTCAGGTATGTAGTGATGATCACATCATCATCCATTCACTTGTCCATTTTGAAGTTTTCTTAAATTAGTGGCTATCCCCAAAGAATCATAGAATTCTCTCAAGGTGAAAAGCCAACTTTTTGAGTCCAGGTTCTCCAACAAACAGGCTTTCTGTATAGGCCCCATCCTTACAATAGGAATGGGCAACCTGAAATACATGGACTTCATGGAGCCTCCAATACCTCCTGCCCAAGATGGAGAGACATAAATTCAAAGCCAGTGAAGTTTTAAACAAGCAAAACTAATACTGTAATATAGAGTTTAGCTAGAAATAGATATGATAATGATAAACAAATTCCACAGAAAGCTGCAAATTTGAGTTTAAAATAATTCTTTCTCGAAGATTTTTTTTCCATTCTAAAATGGTAACAGGTTTATATAAAAGTAAAGTACTATGATAAATCTGGATTATGTAGAATTTCCTTCTAAACCTTTAATTACAGTTTTGTAAGAATGTGGTGAAGCAATGCCAAAGCTGCTTTCTTTTTTACATGCAAAACCCAGGTCAAAAGATTAATTAAAGAAGTAAGGAGTCCATATTTTGTATTTTAAATTTATTTGCATGCTCTCAGCTATGATAATAATTTATTATATGAATTACACTTTTGACTTTTTAGCATTTCTCAAGAATGATGAGTTTCTGCTTTCTACAGGACAGATTGAAGTTCCTGATGAATTGAATGATTAAAGGTGGTATAGAAAAAAATAGATAATAAAGGCTAACTCAACTTTCCATCACCCACTTCCTTTGCTTAAAAAAAACATTATGAGTTCTGAAAGTTCTGTAGTACATATTTAATAGTTTAAACAAATGAGTATTATACCAATGGAACAGTTTTACTTCCTCCTTTATCTACAGTAATTGTGGTTTGGTAAGGATTTTGAAAATATTCAGTTACAGATACATATATTCCTTATAAACTTCTCTAGTGAAAAAATAAAGAAGAATTTTAATAGTTATTCTGTCCATTAAGAAAAATGATGTAGTAGATTGACATAAATATATATTTGAATATATTTCCTTATTACCAGTTATATTTTGAATGTTTCTGTGCATTAAAAGATTAAGATTTTGTGCCCAACAATTACTGATGTGCCAGCAATATGTTTTACACCAGGTACTAATAACAATATTATATTATTTACAGGACTTCTGCTTTTGTGCTGTAGTGTACAGCTGCAAGATACTGGAGCTCCGCACCCCACGGCCAGTTTCGCCCTGCCAGGAGGACCTAAGTGGGTCTGAAGTTGCCCCAAAGAGGTGACCATGAAAGAGGGGCACTCCCTCTTTGATCACGAAATGGTGGTGGTTATTTTGTTCAATCTAGGGGAAGCCCTCCAACCCAACAGTAGAAAGGCTAGCTGTACATCAGCATCTAGCCCAAGCTACATGCAGCCGAAGTCCAAGAGTACAAACCAGAACATCGGTGAACAGCGTGCTTGGAACTGGTGAAAGTATTGATCTTCTCTCTTCTACCTTTTAACTGAATCCTTGGAAAAGACCCCCAAAGTAAGAAAACCTCCGAAAGTGGAGGGAGGGGACTACACCCCCCACTCCCTCATAGACGGAATCGGCGAATTAATACTAAGGGAAAGAAATATATGGAAATTAAATTTAAAATACTACAGTTTGGATAAATCTAGAAACTAAAAAACCTGTTAAGACTATACCCTAAAGGGTTTTGATGAAATTATAAAAAGTATATAACAATAATAACTTTTTGTCTGAAAAAACTGGAAAATAAACAACTACTGACACCTAGTGGAGAATCAGAGCACAGAACACTAACAATAATGACTCAGAAATTGGCAGGATGCCCAGAAACAAAGAATAATCTGTTACCTTGAATTTTAAATAACTTTTAAGAAGACAACTGGGAACAGAAAGAGCTGGGCCAGCTATAAAAAAATGTCTGAAAAAAAAATATAGACTGTTGTCTAAATCTAAGAATTGCTTATAGAATAAGAAAATCTTTGGCTTTTGGCTAATCTTTTAGAGGAGAATTTACAGGAAGGACTTAAGGTAGCTAAACATACTGAACTGCAACTTTGACTGATTAATAATTGATCCCTGAATAAAAAAATTGTTACAAAAATATTGCCTGTACTACTAATTATAGAGACTAAAATATTGATGAAAGACTATTTGAAGGGGGGAGACAACATGGATATCGTATACCTATCAAAAAATGACAGACCACCACATTCAATATTTACCACTTCGGCAAAACCGGCAGCTAATTTTTTATTGCCCAGGCCCAGAATAGACTTTCGGAAGTGGCATCCACACAGAGAACCAGTTGTTCACATATTTGAATCCCACCACTGGGCAAGACAAATACTTTTCAAGAGGAAATGTATGCAATGTTATGACAGATACAAATGTCAATAGATTTAAACCATGAGGAAATCAAAACCAACTTTGACAACATAAATAAGCACATTTCTAACCTAAATCTACAATCAAAAAACACCCAGAAAATGACAGTGAAGGAACAAACAAATCAGATAACAGAACACAAATTAGAAGAACATGAAGCTACAAATGAAAAGAATTACAATTTAATACAAACAGGAAAAAATCTACAAGACTTTGATATAACAACAAAAATGGAATGGGCTATAGAATTCCTAGGAGAATCATCAGAGTTTAGGAGACAGAAAGTATATATTTTACCTATTTTATCTTCTTTATTCCCAACAATACTTACAAGAACACAGGAACTGCTGGGCAAGTGGAATATATCAACTTGGAAAGCGACTCGACAAAAGAAGAAAGCTAGAGACAGATTCAAGAGACTTGAATCGCCCTACTAGTTGGAGTATTACATGAGCAAATACTTGTTTGAATATAGTTAAAAGAATAGAGAACTTTGAACATAAAGGGGCTTTATAACAAGAGGGATAAGAGATTTAAGCAGTATAGTATGTTTTACAATATATGAAATGTAAAAATATTGGGATGATGTAACTTTTATAAACGTAAGTGAAATATAAGCTGATCAGAAAGAATGTTATATGCAGATGCTATAAGATAGATAAGAAGTATAGTATTTTTTATAACACACGAAATATGAAAATATTGGGATGGTGTACTGAAATGGAAAAATTTGGATATTTAGATGATTAGCATTGAGAAAATCATGACTGATAAGAATGGATTGAATATAAAGGGGAAATTAAGCTTAAACAAAAACCACGAAAATAGGATGCATGGTGAACTAATGAGATGATTTTTATAAGAATAATATAAGCTGATAAAAAAGTTATACAGATGTTATCACTATCTGTACAAATATGAAAAATGTCTACATTTAATCATTTATACATAGAAATATTAAGAATTATATTTGTTTAAGGTTGAAGAAGGAGAATACAATTGGGAGAAGGGAAGATCAAAGAAATATAATATAAATTAATATACTAATTATGGAAGTATCAAAATCAATCATTATTGATTGTTAATTAATTATTATTGTTTTTTTCCCACATATATAAACCAAGACAACAAGCTGTATACCAGGCACTGGAGATTGTTATTGTAAAAAACCAATAAAATATTTTTTTTAAAAACAATATTATATTATTTACAAACCTGCAAACAGGTTGTAAACAGGAGGGTGATGGTCTGTTTTTCACTTTTTCATTTTGAATGATAAGGAGCTACTGATAGAAGGATAGCAAACAGTCAAATAGAAAAAAACATTTAAACATTAGGTTTTGGATAGAAGAAAAGAAGTAACTCCAGTTCCATGTTTTTTCCAATGATTAAATACATGGCCCTTGAAGACTCTCTGAGAGACATAAGTTCAACTTGATATATGCTTTTTCCAGAAGAATAGTGATGAAGAAAAGCCTGAAGAAACATCACATCTGGGATGCCCTGGTGTGTGGATAAAAGGACTGAAACTTCAATGGATGGAGCTTATTTAAGTCTCCATGGCTATATGGAGCAGCCTAGCAGGCAAGAGTAGAACCCTGGTTGCAAGCATCCAGATGCCCACTAGATGGTAGTAAAGAGATATATGATAGTGCCACCCTTGGAATAGAGGTTCCCACACTTGATTCTGGGCATAACAGAAGTTCTCTTGAACAGAACAGAACAGAGCTGGAAGGGACCTTGGAGGTCTTCTAGTCCAGCCCCCTGCTCAAGCAGGAGAACCTATACCACCTCAGACAGGTGGTTGTCTAGTCTCTTCTTCTTTGTTCGATAGGCTCATTGTTCGAGTTTGTCAAGATCTAGTTATGACTTTGTTTGCTTCTAGTTGTTTGCAGATCTGTTTTTTGATTATCTTTTTTAGGATCTTCCCAGGTATTGATGTTAAACTGATTGGTCTGTAGTTTCCTGGGTCCATTTTTTTTTCCTTTCCCTTTTTCAATCCTCAGGTACTTCCCCAGTGCTTCAGGATTTATGAAAGATGTGGTGCAATGGTTCTGAGATAACATCTGCCAGCTGTTTCAGAACTCTGGGATGCAATCTGTCAGGTCCCGGTGATTTATACTCATCAAGGTCAGATAGGAGTTCTCTTACCATTTTCTTGCTTATTTTAATTTTTGTTTCTAGTATGTCTTTTGCAGTCTTTTTTTTTTGGTATGTTAGGCTATAGTTTCTTTTTGTGTGAAGACTGACACAAAGTATGAGTTGAGCAGCTCTGCTTTCTCCCTGTTGCCTGTAATTTCCTTGCCATCTTCTCTCTTTAGTGGGCCTACAGTTTCCTTGACTTTTTCTTGTTGTTAATATGTTGGAAGAAACTTTTTTTTATTGTCCTTGATTTCTGTTGCAAGTCTTTGTTTGTTCTGAACCTTTGCTTTCCTGACTTCTTTTTTGCATGTTCAGGCTGTCTGCTGATAATCAGCCTTGGTTATGTGCCCCTCTTTCCATTTTTTGTATTTGTCCTTTTTGTCTTTCAGTTTGTTAGAAAGATCTTTGTGCAGCCATGCTGGTTTCTTTTTGGATTTCTTGTTTTTCTTTCTCAGTGGTATGGTGCTAGTCTGGGCTTTTGTGATCGCCTTTTTCAGGATTTCCCACGCTTCTTGGTTTTTTTTCCCCTTTAGGATTTTCATTCATGGGATCTTTCCTAGGTTCCCTCTGAGTTTGTTAAAGTCAGCTCTTTTGAAGTTTAAGACATTGGTTGGATTGTTTTCTGTGCTAGTGTTTGCATTATGTTAAATTCCAGTATGATGTGGTCACTTTCACCCAAGGTTCCGGCAATTTCAATTCCCTCTATCACTTCTTCTCTATTTGTAAGGATTAAGTCCAGTATGGCTTTATGTCTACTTCCCTCCTCCACCTTTTGGGTGACAAAGTTGTCGGCTAGGCTGGTTAGGAATTTGTTTGATCTCCGACTCACTGCAGAGTTTGTCTCCCACTTGATATCTGGATAGTTGAAGTCTCCCATTACTACTGTGGTGTGCAAAATTTATTATGCTTGGCTTACCAAGCATAGAATTCCTAGTTAATTAAAGAATTCTGGGTTAAAGAAAGGAAGTTAACTCTAGAGGTGGAAAAAAGAAACCCTAACTTCCTACAAGATAAACATAGAAACAAATTAATAAAATTAGTAGAAATAAAGACTTGGGAACTAAGAAAAGAGAACTCTAGTTGGTAATCTCTATGTGCATGTGGGCATAATTAAAGGATATTTTTCAAAACAAATTTATATTAACCTTAAAAATAATTGTATGCTTATTTTTGTTTTCTGTATCTTCATCAATTGTTCTTGCCCTATTTTTAAGGCACAAAAGAATAATGCACACCTATGAACAAAAACGGGAGTATTTGCACTTGGCAAATTACAGTTGTGATGGTCCCTGCTGATTATAAGCAAGTTGTATGTCAGACCCAGTCAGCTGAAAGACAACCCGTTTGCTATAAATAATCAATCAGGCACTAGTTATAAGTCACTGTGGTTGCTGTTGAACAGTCATCCCCTGTTGTGCAACTGTCTACTGTGACTTGAGATGTATGAAATTGTGCAAAACAGATATGTAAAATTAAGCAGTAAACTAGCCACAACATTCTGTTTTTTATGTACTGAGGTAACCTACCAGAGATCCCTGAAAAATATACAAGTTGCATTCCAAGTTTTAAAAATATGATAGATCTAAAACAGTTTTGATCATCATGTACTTTCTAGTTCTAACTCTAGTTTAGTTCGATAATGCAATTGCAAGCTACCATTTTCAAAAGCCTCATTCAAATTGCTTTTGAAATAATCAGTGAGATGGGATAGAGGGGGAACTCATCAAATTTGCAGACGACACAAAGCTGGCAGAAATAGCCAACACTCCAGAAGACAGGCTTAAGATACAGAAGGATCTGGACAGACTTGAACACTGGGCACTATCTAACAAAATGAAATTCAATGGTGAAAAAAGCAAGGTTCTACATTTAGGCAAGAAAAACCAATTGCACAAGTACAGCATAGGTGGCACCTTGCTCAATAGTAGTAACTGTGAGAGGAACCTCGGAGTCNGAAGGCAGGACAAGAAGCAACGGGTGGAAACTAATCAAGGAGAGAAGCAATCTAGAACTAAGGAGAAACTTCCTGACAGTGAGAACAATTAACCAGTGGAACAACCTGCCTCCAGAAGCGGTGAATGCTCCAACACTGGAAGTTTTTAAGAAGAGACTGGACAGCCATTTGTCCGAAATGGTATAGGGTTTCCTGTCTGAGCAGTGGGTTGGACTAGATGACCTTCAAGGTCCCTTCCAACTTTACTATTATTATTATTATTATTATTATTATTATTATTATTATTATTATTATTATTATTATTATTATTATTATTATTATTATTATTCTTAGTTCTTTATTAAGTCTAGCTAGAACAGGGGTGTCAAACTCAATTTCATTGAGGGCCGCATCAGCATTGTGGTTGCCCTCGGGGGGCCAGGCAGATGTGACCGGGATGGGCATGGCCTACTGGGAGGGTGTGGCTGGGGTGGGCATGGCCTACTGGGTGGGCGTAGCCAGCTCTACATCACTTGCTTCAGCAGTGCCTGGGCAGGACTGGGGCAGATTTGAGGGTCTCCGGTGGAGAAGGGTGGGACTGGGGCGAGCGCCGGGACATGGTCCCTCCCACCTTCCTGTCCTTTCTTCCTCTGTTCCTTCCTTCGTCCCTCCCTCCCTTCCTCCCACTCTCCCTCCCTCTCTCCGTTTCTTCCTTCCTCTGTTCCTTCCTTCTTTCCTCTCTCCCTTTTTTCCCTCTCTCCCACCCTCTGTTCCTTTCTCTGTTCCTCCCACCCTCCATTGCTCCATCCCTTCCTTTGCTTTCTCATCTCTTTCCTTCCCCCACACTCAGGAAGGGGTGATGGGAGGGGGAGAGATTGCCAGCACTAACATGCTGCTGCCGGCCATTCCTATACCATGTGGGCGGGCAGGAGTGGTCCCATTGAAAGGGATGCCTCGTGGCTGCGAGGCTGGAGGTGCTGGTGGGAGGGGGGTAGCATAGTGGAGAGGGGAGTTGGCGGGATTGACGCTGGCTGGGAGGCTTTGCTGGAGCTCTGAGTATTCGGCAGAGAGGTCGGGAGCTCCGGCGGCCTCCGCAGTGGCTGGTGGCAGGGTGGGGCTTTTGGGGAGGGATTTTTAAAGGGGAAGAGGAGATTGACTGGGGGAAGAAGATTTTATTTTCTCTCTTCTGGAGACGAAAGCCAGGAGGGAGAGTGAGATAGGAAGTTGGCAAAAAAGCTTTTTATTCTTTCTCTGGAGACAATAAAAAGCCTTTTTACCAACTTCCTACCTCACTCTCCCTCCTTCTGGCTTGCCTCTCCAGAAGAGAGAAAATAAAATCTCCAGTCAATCTCCCCTTTAAAAATCCCTCCCCAAGAGCCCCACCCTGCCGCCAGCCAATGCAGAGGCCACCGGAGCTCCCGCAAAGCCTCCCACCAGCGTCGATCCCCCTCAACTCCCCTTTCTGCTACAAAAGGAATGATGGTTCCACAGGGCAGATCTGGAATCAGCAAGGAGCTGCCTTGCCACCTCTGCCCCGCCCCCTGGGTGTGCGCACAGGAGACGTCCAGCGCTGGCATCCTGGGTGATGTCAGTCTGTGGAACAAGACAGCCAGCAGGGGAGCTGGACTCTGCTTGTGCACGTACCCAGGGGGCGGGACAGGGCTGCCCCATGGATTTAAGACTGAGCGCGTTCTGGCTTTGATGGACGCAACCAGATTGTAGATCAGTGCCGAGATGCGGTGGGCTGGTCCTTTGCTGTTTCCAGAGCAGGTCCCGGGCCGGATGGAACCACATATCGGGCCAGATCTGGCCTGCGGGTCTTGTGTTTGACATGTCTGAGCTAGAAGGATGGGTTTCCAGGTTTCCCCACTTTTAAAACCAACTTTAAATTTTCCATGATTTTCCATATGTGTGTTAATTTTAATTTTATCAATTATTGCTAAGTAATATCATTATGTATATGAACTACTTGTATACAGATAGTCTTCAAGTTACAACAGTTCATTTAGTGACCGTTCCAAGTTGCAACGCACTGAAAAAATTATGACTGTTTGCAGCATCCCCATGGTCACATGATTTACATTTGGATGCTTGGCATCTGGTTCATGTTTATGACAGTTGCAGTGTCCCGGATCATGTGATCACTTTTTGCAACCTTCTAACAATGGGGAAACCAGGTTCACTTAACAATTTTGTTACTAATTTAACAACTTCAGTGATTCACTTAGCAAATGTGACAAGAAAAGTCATAAAATGGGGCAAAACTCCCCATAAATTTTGGGCTCAATTGTGGTCATAGGTTGAAGACTACCTGAATATATTTATGATAATTTTAGTGTGAAAAATTTTACGTCTTGGTGAAAGACAGTGGTGAGTAGGGTTCTGTGCTATAATTTACCAAGCACCTAAATTTTATACAGGATATGTACATCAGGGAGGAATTCTGAACACTGTTTGAAACTGGACTTGGGAGACTACTTAGGAGAGAGGTTAGAGGGTTGGTCATAAAAGTTGAAACCAATGATGCTGTCTTGGGAGGGATCAGTGTCAACTAGTCTGTATTTCGTTTCTGTGTTTGGGTAACAGAAAGATAATATCTCACATTACAAGGCTTTATGATATCTCATCTTGCCATTTATATTGTTAAAGTATTGCTCTTTGATGAAGCATTCAAATCTTTTAATTTTTTTAAAAACCTCTTCAACTTCAGATGACAGTATTAAGTGCATTTGAATTTCCAAACATGCTTTTGTGGCACTTAAAAATTAAATGCGTAATTTCTGTGGTGCATCAAGAGGATGCTAAGCATCATATACTGCAGTATTATAAATCATCTACAGCTGGATATGACATTCAATTTCAGTTATTTCATTATTTACAAAGGAACAGGAAGAAATCCATTAGGCATATGTATAGGAAGTTACTGAGTACTAAAGAGCTTTTTAGTTTTTATCTGCATAACTAAAGGAGTCTAAATTACAATATTGTGAATATGCCAGTGCACATCAATCAGAAAACCATGAGTTCAATCCATAGAAAGTGATTTTAAATGAGTGGTAGAATCTTCCTAAATTATGTTGCAGGATTTAGAATAGAATAGAGCTGGAAGGGACCTTGGAGGTCTTCTAGTCCAGTCCCCTGCTTGAGCAGGAGAACCTATACCAGTGGTGGCGAACCTATGGCACGAGTGCCAGAGGTGGCACTCAGAGCTCTCTCTGTGGGCATACATGCCGTCGCCCCAGCTCTGCCTCCCCCCACAGCCCCCTCATCAGCAGCCCCTCCGGAGGAAAGTCACCCCCGGGTGCGGCCCGGACAGAGCACCGCAGCCAAACACATGGCAGCTGGGCAGCAGATGATGCTGCGGGGCGTGGGCAGAGGGTGTGGCCACCATGGCACTGCAGGGCCACCTGGGCAATCTGCAGCGGGCTGTGGATGGCCCTGAGAGCGGGAAGGGTGAGGGTGGAGCAGGGTGGGGGTAGCCGGGCGGAGTGGGGGCAGGCTGGGGGCGGGGAAGTTTTGGGCACTTGATCTCTAAAAGGTTCGCCATCACTGACCTACACCATTTCAGACAAGTGACTGTCCAGTCTCTTCCTAAAAATCTCCAGTGATGGAGCACCCACGATTTCTGAATGCAAGCTGTTCCACTGGTTAATTGTCCTCACTGTCAGGAAGTTTCTCCTTAATTCCAGGTTGTTTCTCTCTTTGGTCAGTTTCCAACAATTGTTTCTTGTCTTGCCCTCTGGTGCTTTGGAGAATAGTTTGACGCCCTCTTCTTTGTGGCAGCCCCTCAAATACTGGAATACTGCTATCATGTCACCCAGTGGTGGGATTCAGCCAGTGGTGGGATTCAGCCAGTTCGCACCACTTCGGCAGAACAGGTAGCTAATTTTTTGTTGCCCAGGCCCAGAATGGACTTCCGAACACGGCATCCACACAGAGAACTGGTTGTTCACATAAGAGAGACATCTCCCTTCCCTGGGGATAGGATTAACCTTTTCCTGCCAGGAAAAGACCAGGCTAGAAAATTACAAAAACAAAAGCTCCATTTAATCTTATCAAAATTTCAATAGCCCAGAAAGGGTATAAAGATTGCACCCCTTGTCCATCTAGCTACCTAGCTAGGCTGGAACCCAATCACTGCGTCACTATGCTTCTTGGCTTCCAAAAATAAAGGTTCCACTTTCTGGCAGCTTGCTTCACTTTGTGTCCATTTCTTTCAGCGTTGACCGTTTAGTCCCGGCTGGAAAAACAAACCGGAGAATTTTCTTTCCGCAGAGTCAAAGACTGAAAGGTTGAGAAGAATCTTGGAAATCTGTTCCAGTATTCTGTTCAGTGCATACATTCACTACTATACTCCTTTTAACCTCTATTTAAACACTCCCAGCCAAGGAGAATTTACTGCCTTCCAGTGTAACATGCTCCATTGTTAAACACTGTTTGGTGTTAGGAAACTTTTCCAGATGGGCAGCTAAAAATCTATTTACTTATTCATTTAAATTATTGTCCTTTTTTCTAGAATAATTCTGAACCATTCTGCTCCATTTTCTATATGGCAGGTCTTCAAATACCTGAAGGCAGCTATATGATTTCACATTCTTTTCCAAGTTAACATTCCTAACATCTCCAACCATTCATTACAGTTTTCTCCCCTGCAGATCTGCTTACTTTTAACATATTCATTCCAATGGATATGTTCCAAGTTGTCAATGTATTTCCTATTGCCCAGAACTGGATGAAGGATAGTAGTTGCAGTCTGACCAATGCAAAATAGAGAGAAACAATGACTTTTTTTTTATCTTGGCACCACTCTTCTTTTGATTGCAATTTTCTGCAGCTATATCACACTGCTGGCCATGTTCAGCTTGTGATTCACCAAAGGACCCATATC